TTTGAATGGCATGTTTTGGTAGGACTGCATAAGGTTTGATATGCAAATGTGAGTTCGAAGCATTTTCTTCGCCAAAAAACTTTTCTCAACGACTCATATGCACATATTCTCATCTAGGTTTTTGTGCTCCCAACAAGTACGGCCAGTCTGAAGCCACCCATTACAAAATCGACGGAAAAGGAATGTGCATCCAGTTTGACAAACTGTAACCGAAGTCTGGATAGAAATTTTGCTGCCAAATCCGGTGGCATAGGAGGTGATCGAGGCAGCTACGGCATGCGCCTAGATCTGTCCGTGCAAAACCAGGACGGTGGCTTCAGTCCGGTCGTCGTCCTGCTACCAGAGAGTGAGCCTGGAACACCACATTTTACGACTGATTATTTAAAAAAGGATACGGCGACGAGATCTGAACAGGGGCTGGGGAAACTAGACAACCAAGAACTGGATGACGGCTTATCCGATGAGCCACCAAGAACTATTATGCTTGAAAGACCGACCAGTGTCCTTGACGCGTCACTCAAACCAGAACCATCTACTGGTATTGAAATTGAACCTGCGGTTCCGACGGAGAATTACTGTGACACTCCCCCTACTCCTCTTCGTAAGTCAAAACTCCGTTAGATTTCCTGAATACGCTTAACACAATGGATGCTCATAATCTCCAATACTCTTTTGAAAAATTACCGCTTTTTAAACGGACATGGTAGGTGCAGCGGAATAACAATTTCCTACTATAATATAAACCAGATCCTTCAAACAAAAAAGATGTTCCAAATTTCATTGTTGTTTTTTTATAAAGACTTATAAGTGTCCGTTGTTGTGTACTTCCGAATTCGCATACGCTGCAAGTACCTCAGTGAAGGTCCACATAGATACGGTTAGGTAGGGAGCACCAGTTTGACAGAACCACTGCACTGGTTCCTCACCTTGTCTAGCGCTGTAGACCGAAATAGATCCAAGACCACGTTTAAAAGGGGAATGGCCTCAACGAAATTTCAGGCATGTGTTTCCACAAGAAGATGGATTCGACTTCAATCAGTCAAAAACCATGCCAGTGTGGCGTCTCTAAAAGAACCGTTGGCCATCCAAGGTAACCAAACATAAAACACATGCCTCAGGTTTCTTATTATAACATTACATCCCTTTGTTTGATAACTACCACAATGGCAGCGCATGATGCCGTTTAATTCAATGCAGCAAATGGTCAAGTTACGGCGGCTGTCAGCGTAAAAATCCTTGTAAAACCTAACTGCGGTTTAACTTTGGGCTGAAATAGTAGAGAGTCGATTGGGATACCAATTAAGAAAACAATGCAATTATTAGCAAGAAGCTCGTGGAGGAGAATATGGTAAAGATGACTTATATGGCCTTGGGATATGGGAACGGGAACCACCCACAATACAGGTACATTTGCACCAACTTCCAATAAAAATGGTTAGAGTTAGGTTTAAACTTAGTGGGACTTTATAAATGTCTAGCAGTGTTACTAGCAGAATACGTTAAATGGACGATGTAGGTTAAGTTTAGCGTTTCCGTTAGGGCTAATATTAGGGTCAGGACGCGGGAATATATATGTTTGTTGGAATACTGTGCAAGGCAATATTTAATACTCAGGCCGGACGCTCCCACTCCCACTTCTACCAATAAGTAATACCTACTATGCAAGTAACGGTGGTGTAAAAAGCCTCGTGGTAGGTGCGCTGAACCAATACAGAGGCCATATCAGGGTACGGCAGGGGTTATTTGGGCTGCGCACGAAAAGCAAATGCCGAACATGGGGGGCGTGATAGCACGCATAGGAGCGGCTTCGACCGCACCAGCCACCTGCGCTCGCTTCCATCTCCAGTCTTGTTTACTTCGTCTTGACACCGGACGCAGGTTAGTGAGAGAAGAGAAAGTGCGGTAAATGCTATGCAAGTCCATTATCGCGTAAAACTAATTCACGTGCAAGTCACCGTCCCTGCACCATCCGTTTATGGAGCATACGGTGGATCTCGTCTAAATTGGCGGTCGAAATATCGGTGACAGCAGCGGCCTCCGATGTCTAAAATATTCATTATCAAATGGATTCAACTTTTATGACTGATTCTTTAGTGGAGTATTTTTAGTATTTTGCTAGCTTCTTAATCACATTTCCTCCTCGACTGAACAAAAAATTAGCTGTACAAACTTCAGAAGGTGACCGAGTAATGCCTTCTGGACTAGCGCCTCTGTTACTGTAATAAAGGTTTAAAAGGTCTGGTAGGTAGAAAGTGTGTTATTAATACTTTTGCTTGGGTTTAACATTGCTTGCATACGGAAAAATCCCATGAACAGTGCACAGATTGGTAACCCACAATTTCTCAGTTAACATATTTGGAACCATATGGAAAATTTCGTGCAGTCTTAAAAACAAATATGCAAACAGGTCTAACTCCTAGTTTTTTTCCAACTCAGTTTGTTGGCAGCCCTTCAGCTCCATCGACCAGCAGGCCTCTCTCGCGCACTTATGAAGGCTCTGCATTATAAAGGAGACAATGAGAAATGTATGAGCAGTTTTATCGAATGAGTTGCCCATGATAGAGGTTATTGGGGGAACGTACCTCATTCCTTCCCGTCCACTGATTAAGCAGTTTGGCCACCGTTGGCCTCACTGCCTGGGGAGGGGGCAGGATGGTGACTCGGGCGTTGATTATTTTACAGCGATAGAAGGCTTGCGCAACATCTGCCGCACCCTCTTCACCCTCGAGGCGTGGATCATGTGGCAAGACCGAGTTAGTTCGACCATAGACGGGCTCGGATGCAATGGCGGACAAAACCAAACAGCACAGCTACTTGTTCCGCGCAAAACCTGGTCCCCGTGCAATGTACCAGATTATCACATAAAAAGAGGGAGGCTCCAATGCATAATGAGTGAGTGTGCCTTTGGGGTCCTCCTCAGAAAGAGCCAGTGAGCCTGACTCCACATTCTCAGAGGGCCAAGTCACCCAGTCGATTGCCCATCTTCCAAGTCACGACTTTTAGCGCGACTCCTAATCACGTCGGAAAGGCAATTAATTGCCTGGGGATTGATGCCCCAGAGTCGACCACCCTCGCCCTCTTTCTTCGCCCATGCTCCAGTCGACTGTCGAGGCTCGTCGGCCATCTGGTGCTGGGATTAGGCGCAGTGGCTGGCACGGCATGAAGGTTACGCCTCAGCCTGCCACCACGCCCTCCCCCTCTCCATATGTGGCAGTAGTTATGACCTCAGGCGGACAGTGTGGTCCGATTAACGCATGCCGTGACCACAATCTGCTCTCCATTTCGCTCCACCATCCCTGCAGCATGGGTGTCACCCCATCCTCCCTCAGCCACATGATTTTCTAGTTT